GCTCTTTGTTGTTTCTATTTTGGATCTCAGGTTCAGAGGCTGATGTCTCTTCGTCTATATCCATATTCAAATCTTTACTGGAAGGAGTTGTGATATTATTCGAAACACTGTGCTCGGAAACGGGCTCAGTCTCTATTTCATTAGTAACACTACTTTCTGGGATGGTCACAGGGATTTCCGCTGTCTCAGTGATAGTTGTCTCCATTGTAGTTGAGGCAGTTGGCTTCTTTTGACTCGACTCAACAGTTTGAATTGCGGACACCGCTGCGTTAAAGAGTTCGTTGTAATATCTACTTGGTGTTGAGGTAGAAATCTCTCCAATGGAATCTCGCAGCTTACGAAGTTCCACGATATCAGTAGTTTGTTCTAGAAGAAACTTTGAGTAAAGTGCGTAGTTCATAGATCTGGCCGGTAAAAACCTTTTGACGATCGAAGATGTCTCATATAAGTCTGATGCTGGCATGCGGCCGGAAGGGAAAACTTTTCCGCCGCGGGCAGTTCGGTGATACGGCATAATTGCGGAGCAGAGAAAAACACGTCTTGTCTCTAGTAAGGCTTGAGCTGGTCCCTCCTCGGTCTCGCCTCTCCGGTCAGCATCTTTTATAAAAGTAATTGAGAGAAATTTATCATATATATTTGAGAATTGAATCTGTAGTGGTTGACAAGTGAATAAGGCAAACCAATCATATTCATAAATAAAACAAACTTTTAGTCATATATTTGCTACAACTTTCTTATTTTAACTAGATTTTGTATTAAGCGACTCGCTCGGAAAATGGATATCCTTCACAGTGGTCTGATCGGACTACCTTTAAAAAACCGTGTGGAGGCTTTCAGTTATAAGAGGCGTTGGTACAGGTGGTAATTCTGCATCTATCATTAAAAGTGGTAACAGATAAAGATAGAAACAAACTAAAATGTCTTATTTTAACAATAATTTAAGTTTTTAAATTTTAGAATACGTTTATTTCAATAAAAAAGACAACGTTTTCTGCACCCGGCTTGCGCTGACCACAGAGCTGACGTTAAATATCCTCAGTGGATTATAGTCCCCTTACCGTCAGGCTAACAGAGGGAGATTCTCGTTGTTTTCTTCTTCATGTAACGCAAACGTGGGTTAATTCCATCAAAAAGTTCTCCACGAAGGCAAATTTCTCCCAATGCTTGATTCAGGAGTTCCCTTGTCTTCTGGATGGTTCAAAATTACAAGGCTACAGAGTTGAATATTAGTAATCGTAAACCCAAAAGTTGGGTCGGCTGCTCAACGACGGTTACAAGATTAAGTTGAGAGTCGTGGTCGCTCGTTATGGGTTATAATCTCCTTGCCGTCATGCTAACCGTGGGTGGTTCTCGTATTTTTCCTCTTCATGTAATGCAAGAGCTGGATAATTCCATAAAAAAGACATCCACGAAGCTCTCCACAAATTTCTGCAAATACTTGATCCAGGAATTCTAGTTTCAAAACCACAAGGCTACAGAGTTGAACATTGGTAGTCGTAAGCCCAAAATTGAGTTAACTGTTTAACGACTGTTATAAAATAAAATTCTGAGTAATTGGCGTTCCTGAATTATGCATGAAAACAGAATTTGTAAGGTTCTTAAAAAAATAACATAAGTTCGAAAATAAGCTGTGTATTATAGATACGAACTGAGTTGGCTGACTGTAGCTTATTCTAATATTCTCCTTATTTTTAAAAAAAAAATTATATATATCTTTCTTCAGTTAATGAATAGCTTCTATTTTGAGTTATTTGTTTGCTCTGCTTGTCGCTAGAAGTTACATTAAATATCAATGAAATTTTCAACCTAATTAGTTCTTGGATTACGTGAACTATAACTTACAGATACACTAATACCAATGAAATTAAATGCCTAGAAAATTTTAAATTATAAAAAATCAGAAAAAATTTATAAGATTCATTACTGTGAAATATTACCTGCGAAATTCCTAACAATACTCTTACTGTAACAATAGCTGTAACACTGTGATAGGCAGCAAGTGGTGTTAATAGAGTGATCACTGATGCAAGGAATGAGCCTATACCAAATACCCATTTACGGCTGTACAATTCAGCTAGTCTTCCAGAAACAATTTGACAACTACAATAACCATAAAAGTAAGCTCCAATTATAATGCCTTGAGTTGCCGGAGACCACAGAAATTCACCGTCCTAATGTTTTAAACAAATGAACAAATAAAAGATGTGATGAATTATCTCTAAAAGAGAGAAAAAATTTCATTATTGATCAAAATGTGTAGCTTTTAAATCAGTTGGTTAAAGGGGAGGGTTGGTTAAAGGTCAGTTGGTCAGGAGTTGGTTAAAGGGGAGCTAGCATATTTCAGCGATGCCAACTTGCTCCGATTTGTAAAAAATATTTTTTAAGTGGTATCGAAATGAATGATTTAGTATTTTTCATTTTAAGTATCACTTCATTTAAAAAAAAGTATAATATGAAATGTAACTGTTAAGCATTTACCTCGTGGTGATAAGAAAAAAGAAAGCGTGATTGTCCTTATTCTACAAGTTTTACTAAGTGAATTTGTTACTTAAGTTAATTGGCTACCAATTTATTGAAAATTTGGCATCTCTATTTTTTTTTGTGATCTGGCAATCGGTTTTAGTAGTATAGTAATAACACATATGATTTAAGTCGTATCTACGTGACTTTGTAACCACAACAAATGGTTAAACTATTTTACAAAACATTCGTATTATCAAAAATAATTTTCGAGTACAATTTTCTAATACTAATTAATAAACGATCGCTATTCAGATTTACCTTTGTTTTATCTCTAGGCTGACTTCCATTTCTGTTGAGGGTATCGTTGTAGCTGCAATAAAGACCATTTGATTCTGATTCATTCCTTACGTCACTATAAACAGCAGAACTGTTGACCATGGCTACTATAGCTACATTTAGATTAACTCTAAGTGTAAAGCTTGCTATCAGGGAAAGGAAGCAAATTGCAGAAAAGTAATGACGAATTCCTTGCATTCCTGTAAATAAAATTTTTTTTCGATAAGTTTGCTACGCATTTACATCACTCTAGTCGTTAGAGCGATCCAAAGTTTGACTCCATTGAGTTTTTAGTAATCATTAATGCTGCTTTATTAATTAAACAACATTAAGTTGAAAATTGTAATGTTCATGTAAATTTCCTCCTCAAGGAGATCGCATTTTAAAGTTTTCATTACTGAAAAAAACTATTTGACCGTTTTTAGTCTGCAATTTGGATTTTGTCATTTAAAATTATGTAGATCAAAATGGTGTAAAAATTTGTATAAATTGCAATTTAACTTTTTCCGACCACTAGTAAATTGAATAATATGTATTGATAAAAACTATAATTAAAATTGCCGACCCGCTGGCCGAACGGTTAGTGTGCCTGACTGCGGCGTAGCTGGGAGCGGGTTCGAATCCTGCTCAGGGCATGGATGTTTCTTTCTTTCTGTATTCTATGTCCTTCCTTCTTTGCGTGTGATTGTGTGAATGTGACCCGCCCTATAAACGTGGTTGTGTGACGTGGCGACGCTGCTCCACCGCCGTGGCTTCGCCACAGGTGCCCACTGGGTAACGAGAAGAATGTAGCAGTTCTGGCATTCCTGTGGCCAAAGGGACAACCCCCATGTGCCTGCCATTAAAAAAAAATAATTAAAATTAAATTTATCATTCTTAACCCCTTGGGGACGGGTGATTCAGAAAAGCATTCGTACAAAATCAGAATCAAGTTGTAATTAAATAAAAAACGGTAACTTAAATGTGGTCGTTGCTAATTTGACAGACTTACTTTGCTTTTACTCTAATTATTGTTAGTTTAATCATATATATAATCAATGTTAATTCGAAGGATAGCTAAATAGTTTTATTTTGAACAAAGTATTGGTGAATTAAATAAATCAAACAATTATAACTCCGCCCACAAATAAACTGCTAAAGAAATACTTTGATTACCAGTTTTATATTTTTACACTGATTGATACGGTTTTATGCTGTCACGTATTTGTGACAGTCGGCGCGAAAGGGTTTAGCTAGTATGAGTAAGGATTATATATTTTACATAAAACAGAGGTGTCAACTGCTCCGGACACGCCTAAATAAATAACAAAACGGTAAATTTTGCTAATAATTGACTATTTATGCTTGCTTTTTAAAAGGTATAGCATTTCATAAATGTTGATTTCTGCTACTCGCTTTGATCTACCTTGCTGTAAGGTACATAAATGTTCCTATTTCCTATTTAAATTTTGAATCTGAGTACCAGCCTAATAATAAAGGCTTTAGCTCATTCATCTGAGAGAAAAAAGTTTGTAAATTCGGAGCGAAGCTCCGAGATAATATGGGGTAGATGTTAAAAGGGTGTAGTGGCTATTTTCTCGTCTTCACTGGTTTGGTCTGGACATCAGAGAACAAGGCTCTTTCCCTGCATGATGGAATTTAGAAGCGCCATTGCTTCTTCGTCTTTTAGCAGATTCTGCAGCTCCTTAATGATGGATATAAGTCTAATGGATGTTGAGACTGGAGAGGAGATTTTCCGTTGTTTTTGGAATTTTTTCCTGGGGCGGGCCTCGCACCCAGAAAAATTGGCAGTATGATCCTTGTTGCAGTTGCAACATTTTGGAGGTGTTGATCTTTCTTTACGGCATTCGTAAGAGAAGTGGCTTTCGGCGCACTTTAGGCATCTCGGCTGCGCCGAGCATGCACATTGTGCGTGGCCGTAGGCCTGACATCTATAGCATTGGACGGCACCTCTTCCGCCGCGAAATCTTTCCACAATCACGGGGAAATTTTCGATGTGCTCGATGTGGTATACTCGATGATGATTGGCTGAGTCCTTGATGATCGCTAGGAAAAGTGGGAGGAGCCTAAAGGCCCCGCCCTCTGGCTTCTTGAATTGCACGATCTTTAGGATTTCTAAGTTCAACTTCTCTATTTCTAGAGAAATTTTGGAAATATCAAAGTCTTTTGGAAGGCCCCGGAAAAGAAACTTCCTATTTCTCTTGATTGAAGGAGTTTTATCATCAGTGGGAGTCTTATCCGAAGGTTCAGGCAAAGATGGAGTCGGGAGGGGTTCAGGAGTAGGTTCAGAGCGCTTGCTCTTCTTCTTCTTCTTTTTCCTCTTTTTCTCCGGTCTTTTCGAATCAGGATCAACTTTTGTGGGGATTTCGGAGGCTGTTGCCTCTTCCATCTGTTCCGATTCCTTTGAGGCATCCTCGCTAGTAGATTCGGTGGCTTTCACTTCCTCTAGTAGTTCGGGCTCTGGTGTGATTTTTGGCCCTAGAAAGGGCCTTTCATGAGTTGGGGTAGTAGTGGGGCTTTCCACTGAAGTACTCGGTGTTTCAGGCGTGGTTGGAACTGTGACTTGATTTCCCGAGAAGTAGGGTCTAGAAGCTCCTTCCGGTACGATGAAGTCCGGGAGGCAACTGATGCCATTTGCTGATTGGAGTAGGAAATTCCCATATTTGGTTTCGAAGATGTCGCCAGGCTTACTATCCGGGCTAATGTAGTCAGGATACAAGATCTGTTTAGGTACAGGGGAATGCTGCAACGTCGGTGAGGAAGACATAGTCTTACCTCCCCTTCCACGGCGTGAGTACATGATAGCTTGAGCGCGGTTATAAAACAACCTTACTCAGAGAAGTCTCGAGCTGGAATCGGTACATAAATGTTCTCTTCTCTTTATTTAACTAAAACTGGGTGCCTGGGCCGCACAGCGGCCCCTAACCCATTCATCATGAAGTATTTACAAGTTGAATTAAAAAATATTTTGAATTATGCAGCATTTAGGTAGCATTACGGAAGATTAAGCATATTTGCTTGATTAATTAAACATGATTTGATATTTAATATAAGTCATGATTTATGCAATAATCAGAAATTTTCGTGAATATAAAAAGCACAATTGATATTTAAGCATTGATTGGTATTAAATTTGATGCAATCATAGGTTGTGATTAAAATATGAATTAAATTAATGTGTAAACAATTACAATTGATATTTTAGCATTGAATGGAATTTAAATTTGATGCATTCATAAGTTGTGATAAATTATGAGTAAAATTAGAATATATGCAAATGCGATTGACAATTTAGCATTGAATAAAGTTAGAATTGTGTAATTTTAAGTTGTAAAACAAATATAACATGATATATGATAAATTTACAGAAGTTTTGTTTAATATTGGTGTCGCCATCTATCGGACACAGTTTGCAATTTAATTGAGCTGTTTTACTTTTTTCATTGAAGAAGAGTTTGATAATCTACATATTACA